ATTTAAACTAGCTGTTTTTAAGCCTGGTAGGTACACCAACATCCCAGCATCCCAAGTTGAGGACCAGCATACTCATATTGTTCATTTTAATCATTGCTGATTTGATTTCCAACCTTCTGAAGTAACAAAGAAACACATTCTAGTATGGATAAGCATAAAAAAGGTAAAAGTTAATTGTGTGCGAGAGGGGGAATAGGAACTGAGGGGAGTGGTCTGTTCAGGCTACAGACCTGAGAGAAGAAGTAGCCCATAGCTGAGAGACTCAACAAAAGGCCGTCTCTATCCATTGTGTTAGTGCTGGATTTCCCACGAGAGGCCCGTCTGCTTGAAAAGGGGAGTGTATCAGTTTCTCCTGACATGGATGTTTATTCATTCTGTGGCCAACTGCACCGCCAGCTCAAAATGATTCACCTTACCGTTTTGATGTGTATGACACACACACACACACACTTTTTGGGGGGAGATAGGTGAAAAAGAAAAACACTGGCACATGGAGAGACTAGTGTGAGCTGTGTGAATAGGCATGTCCACCCTCACAGTGACAGTGTTTGTGACAGTATCATGGTTGCTTGTATGAACTTAGCTTTTGGTGTGAAGTGAGCCACCATTTTGTACTGGAGGATTTCAGAATCCTGCTGGAAGTAAACCTTCACTGCGGATATAGGATTAGTTTTAGAGTTTCTTTCATTGGATTTGGTCATTTGGGGAACCGGTATACTTTAAACAGTCTTTCAGAGACATTAAGAAACATTTTTTTTTCCTTTACATCTGTTCATTACTTCCACTTGTTTCTAAGGAGGAGACAAGTGGACTATTTTACTTCCAATGTGTAGTTGACAGTGTTGCAGCAACGGGTTCAAATGAAGACACAATTATGATTATACACTTGATACTCAGTTATTTGTGAGTTTAGTTGAATATGTATGGAATTTGGACTTTCTAATCATGCCAATTTCTCCAAGTAACATTTTAATTTCTTTGAATAGCAGAGTCTAAATAGTGCCAAACCTTTTCTGATGACAACTTAGCAACTTTCTGTAAACTGTTGATTTAAAAAATTAAAAAATCAAATTTATTCATTTAAGATGTTCAAATTATCCAACATTTCATGTGAACCAAAACCCTGACCTTGAGGTTGCTAGCATCATTTGAGCTACAGGGACTTGAGGGACCTGACAAAAGACCAAAATGTGTTATTTGCAAAATTTGCTTTTGTTATTGACAGAATTTCTTCTAATCAGATTTGTCGGACTGTTCTTTTTATCCACACAGGCTAACAGTGCTTCCTTTAATAAAGCTCATATTTATTCAAGGGGACTGTCCAATTCAATAGACTAGTTGTTTTGAGTAAAACATCTTCCAGTTGAGTTTTTATTGGTGGAGGTGAAGGGTGAATGCTATTCAGCCTATAATAAGAACTCATTCTTTCATTATTTACAGAATGTGTGAATTGTTTTAGTGTATTATTAGAACTGAAGGCCCGTGACTATGTAAGCAAGTGTCTTGGTAGGGCTTTGTGTGGTGGGTATCTTACTAAGTGGCATTAGGCTATGGTGTTGAAAGGGTTCAACTTTTATGCCCCAATTAACATTATTCAGGAACAGTGCACAATCTTCACTTTATCACTTTATTCACACTCTACATACTCTTGGATCTTGTTAGCCGATCCATTATCCACATGGACATGAGGCATTAAGGTCTGGACAATTCCCTTATTTCTTTAGCCGTCCAGGTTTAACAACTTTAGCCTCTGAGGTAGATAAGTCTAAACAAACTTGGCAAACTGACACCGTCTCATTTCTGGAGCACCATTATCCTCTAAAATATCTCAACACTCAGCTTCTCCTCTCCCTCTTGACCCTTTGTGAGACAATCGGAACCTGTGGACCCGGTTGCCATGTTCAGTCTTGGCTTCAATGACTCCATTGTTGTGCTGTAACAAGACGCCAGAGCTGGTTGTTTGATCCACTCTTCTGAAAAGTTTTCTTTGCCGTCGTCTTTTCTTTTCCTTTTTTGTTAACCCATGGATCAGCTGAGAAGTTCAAGGAACATTGTTTTTTGTTGTGCAGTACCTTCCTGTATCTTCTCCTTTTGGGGAAAAAAGAAAACGTGGTTCGGTATGAATTGCATTTAAAACGTTAGCTAATTTTTCCACATGACTAAGTTGTCTCTGCAGCACTTAAGGTGATTATTACCATGCTAGTTTGTTGAAGCCTATCCACATATTTGTCTGGGTGTTGCTTGGTTTCGCAGCAGGTGTGTCTATCAGCCGACTTTAGCGTGAAAGCATAGAGGCCGCTGTCTCTCAGCCTGAGTGCTAGCAAACTGTCAGAAATCACATTTTAGTGGCTTGTTCAGGTCACGCTGAGAGAGCAGCCTCTTGTTCCTTACTGTCTCTTTCTTTCTGTTTGACTTTCCTTTTTCTTCTCCTTTTTGCTGCCCACATTTGTCAGTGTATGCTAAAATAATGCATATGGGCAATGCAGTTTTAATACTGCCATCCATAGAATGCAAACTCTAAAGTATGTAGCTCTATATTAATGCTACTTTAATCTACAATATCCTCTTTGTGTTTTTATTTTCTTAGACTTCTACTGATAATTAATCATGAATATATCCATATCAGCTGATTCATAGTGAAGGTTATCATTCCATGGTGGTAAACAAGAGCTAGTTTACATCTTTACTATAGCAAAGCATTGCTATCATTAAGAGCATCCACCAGCATAAGGGAAGACAGACATGCAGACACCATCATCACATTATACAAGCTCTTATTGTCTGGCCGGCTGCTTTGCCTTGCGTGGCATGATGTGTGGGTAGCCATCTGTGCTCAGCCTCTTTTGAAATGTGAGAAAGAACATATGCATTTGCATAAGAATAATTGACACTTCAAATTAGCCATCCAATCACAAAGGATTATTTTTAGTGTATGAGGCTCTTCCATCCTGGGGAACAAAATTATGGTAAGAGATGAAGATGCTATAAGATATTAAACCTGTAACTAGTGTTGTCAAAAGACCCGGTATTTCGGTACCAAGTCGGTACTAAAAAAATGAAAACGTTACGGTACCAGGTTTTCTTAAGTACCGGTGGTACCGAGTACCCGGTCAACCCGGTTCTTCATGCGCTGTCCGAAAGCTATCCTCTTCCAGTGTTGCCAAGTCCGCGGTTTTCCCGCGGAATTGGGCT